CTGCTGCAGGCAAGGCTCCTCCTCTGCCTCCCCCGGGGCACCTGGGGTGGGGGTACAGCCGATTCGGAAGGATTTGCTTTGCCCATCACCTTCAGGAGAGCTGTATTTTCCATTTGTGATTTCTGTGCTTGCTTAAGAGGGGTAGAGTTTGCAGGATTTTGACGCTTTTCACTCAGTTTATTGTGGGAACAGAGCTCACAACCTGCTGCAAGCTGTGGCCCTCACTTTTTGCCCTTAAGGTCAGTCCCTTTCCCTGTATAATGCCTCCCCTTCCCCTGCTGTGCATACAGAAATGGGCACGGTAACATACAGCAGGGCAGCAGCCAAGTACCCCGGGAGCGCTGGGTGGTGGGACATGGAAACGGGCACATCCCTCTCACCATCCTGCAGCGGCCAAAAAGAGTTCAGTTAAAAGGAAGAATTCTCCCACCATATCCAGCTTACCTTATTTCATTTTGATAAGTAGATCCTGGGAAAGAATAAGAAAAAAAAAAAAAAAAAGGAATATGTTTAAAATGCAGGAAACTAAAACGTGACCTACTATATTGCTCCTCTTAGAGCGTGCACTGTGTTCCAGCTACAACAGGAGCATCTCTCCTCCTTGCTTACAAAACTGTGCAACATCCCTGCAGAATAACTTTCAGAGAAATTGGAAATTAGGCACACAGCACGGAAGGTATGCTTCAACAAAGAACCTCAGCAGAGGAACTAAACGTCATTGAAATTTAACGTACTCCTGAAAAACACAACCCCTTGTAGTTAATGAGGGCAGCTGACACTGGTTACCTGGGAACCAATTTATAAGAGAAACAGCAAGGTGAAAGTAAGAAGCATCTTAACCAGGTCATGCTTAGGAGCAGGATCTGTCTGCTCACGCTTCTGCTTACAGGTCTTTGCACAGCACCAGAGCTGACACCACTAGGAGATTTATATCTAATTGAAGATACTTTTTAATGGATAGACCAATTGTGAAGGTCCACTTACCTTTCTTCTTTAGGCAGCAGCAGCGTACAACAACCGCAATAATAATGATCAGAAGAATAATACCAACAAGTGAGAGCACAACTGCAAGTACGATAACCCACGTGCTTCTGCTGTCTTCACTGTAATAATTTTCTGTTAAATTAAATGGAGAAACATTGTGCTATCAGAGCCTCAAAACATCCTTTTTCGGAATATTTACCTGTTCTGTGAGAAGCTATTAATGGCTTGTTGATTATTTAACAAGGAGGCTGTGTTTTCCAAATGACGGACTCTGTATTTATGGATGGTGCCCAAGAATTTAAAATCTTTCCAAACATCAATTCTTTATTGCAATTGTAACTTTCCCCACTGCTTCTTTTCTTCTGAAAAACACAGGGTTGTATTCTTCCAACCTAAACTTTATTTTTTAGACATGTTGGGCCTGCCAGCATCCTTTGGAGACTTTTGGGGCTGGGGAGAGGGGTTAAGATTCAATTTACATGTCTATACTGAATATATTAAGCATCTTGCCTAGCTGCTCTTGTCAGTGGAGAAAAAACAGGTATTTGGGGTTACAGTTAATTTAGGCAAATGTGTATGTATCCCTTTCGATAAGCTGAACAGCTCTGAGGAAGTGTCCATCTCTCCCCACAGACCACAGCAATAGTCCTAGGTGACTAGTACAGGTGGAGCTCTCTAGCCTGTAGATACAATTTTCTGATGAATTCCATCTTGGGATGTCTTAGCAGGTGTTTGATTGTGGGACATACTTGGTAGCGCATCTGTTACCTACTTAAAGAGCAACAAAAAGCAAAATCTGTAAAAAGTAGCGCTGTTTGAGAATATGCAGCTACTAACCCATCGTCTCTACCAGCATCCTCACAACATTAACTTATTCCTTTGCTTTTGCTATAATCTACAGAGTTAAATAAGGTGATTTAAAAATAATCCCATGTCTTGCTGAAATCGGTTCCTATGACCTGTTTTCCTACAGAGCTCCCAAATGCACAGAATTTTAAAAATACCTTGTATTTCTCTCATAGTTGGATACACAAGGAAGATACCGTTTCTGATTGTCAAATCATCCTGCCCTTTGGTTTTGACCAAATATTTCAGAAGCATCTCTAATTTGGCTACCCTTTGAAAAGTAGCCCCAAAATAATTTTGACAGTTGTTTAGAAACAAGCTTCCAATCCAAATTACAGGTGTGAGACACATCCAAACTTGACAAAACCCATTGGGTTGCACTGATTGTCATTTCCTCATTAGAGGTCCCAGGTAACGACTGCATGGCCATATTTCACTGACAGCCTCTGGAAGGGGAATCATAGCAATGTAGGTGACCGGTAGCTGCACAGTGTCAGGGTTATTCCCCTGATGTGTGAACATGCTGGTATCTGCCGGTTTTCCTATGGCAGGGAATAAAGTAAATCCTTTCTATCTACGAATTTGCCTGGGCAAAGTACAGGATCAGAGCCTCCTGCAAAGCTTGAATCTCTGATAGGAGCCTGCAGTCTCCAAAGCCCAGGTTATTGGGATTAAGAAATTTGTTCCAGTCTTCTCTAATCCTAATGCTCAATCAGCATGTTTTGAATTTCTTCTGACTGTTCTAGAAAACAAGCCCTCAGTAACCTGCAAACTAGTAGTTAATTCTGTAGGCTGTAATCGGTTGTGATTACAATTGATGATAAACTTGTTCATAATATTTTTATCTAGAAGTACTGCAACAAATATCTATATTTTATCATATTTTGTTCCATAAAGCATGCCACAGGGATTTCAAGGTGCCTAAAATATGAAAGACAGCTACTCAGCTATAGGGGAAAGCTTAATCTTAGTGTGAAGGGAGGAGCTAAACACACCTGCACTGGCCCATACCTCCAGGTTGGCTGTCACACCAAGGTATTTTGCTCCCTGTCAGGTTCAGGCTACACACCAGAAGACGATCTATGGAGCTGAAGCAAGAAGGATGACACACAAACACTCACAGCACTTCAGCATTGTAGTTTCTCCCCAGTTTTGGAGGATCCAGAAAGAAAGGGGAACTGGGAGCAGCAGGTACGAATGCAGGAGCTGCCAGCTCAACATGCAAATAGGGGTGCAAGAGAGGGACACTAAGGTACGAGGGCATTAAACCCCTTTTAGCCCCATTAGTAAATCCACACCAAGTTACATGAGGTGCTTAGGGTGGACAAAGGCATTTCCTCATTCTATAGGGCTCATCCTCTGCTGCTATCCAGACCTCTGGCTCCTCCCAAAGCTGCCCCAAAATTTACTTGGGCTAAGTACCTGCAGAAAAGGGGATCTTCCCTGGTACATGCTGGTGACCAAGGAGAAATAAGAGACTGGAAAAAGCTGCACATCACTTGGACATTTTGGAGTTTTCTGGCTAACTTAAAAAGCAAAGGAAGGTCAGGCTCATGCCAGATTCCCTGTCTTCATCTTCTGCAGGTCAAAGGCCACATGAAGTCAACAGTGAAGCCAAAGAGAGCTTGGGCCCAGCTAAGGGACTCTGCCATGGACGCCGTTTCCCAATAACAGCTCTGTGAATGCATCTGTGGGGATAACTCCTTACGAGTTCCCAAATTTGGGGCTTGGCCAAACACCACCTGAGAAGGAGTGACTGACTGACAGAAAAATGCATCGCCTTGTACGGAAAGGTCTGAGATTAAGACTGATCTAGATGTGCAGGAAGGTAGGACATTCATTGACCAGGAGATGGCTGGCTGAAGAGGGCTCAGATTTTTGGTTGCAGTTCTTGCGGATGGACAGGTGTTGCTTGTGAGAAACATGGAGGAATTTGCTTCCTCAAGCTTTTAAGTGAAGGCTGACATTGATATTACAGTAGTTTTGGGAAGGACTCCTTAGATGTTTGAAGCTAGTCGTATTCTTCCCTGACAACAGCTAGCTAGGGTTGAGCCTGCATATGAAAAGTCAGACGAGCTCTGAGATTTCAAGTGTGATATACACATTCTGTATCTTCCTCTGACGTAAATGCCATGTCTATTTTATTCTAATAGTTTAAAGACTTCATATTCTCATATCCTGACAAATTTTGAATGTCTGCTGCTGCACAATGATTTTTCTAAAGAGAAATGAATGATGGTCCTATACAATCATTAATTATACACTTAATTGTGCTTCATGACATCTGTTTTTCTCCTCTTCTGATTTACAATGAGTAGCTATGGAAACTGAGGGTGGATACCTCAGTACTTTACAAATGAGCAGGCAGGGAAATTTATTAATTTCCTCCGGATAGTTCCATTTTGCTTAGTCAGTAATTAGGATCAATGTGACTACAAAAAAGGCATATTAAGAATGGTGAAATGACCTTTTTCAACTGCATTACAAAGCAAGTACATCTGAAAAAGGCTTAAAATAAAAGTCAGAGTTACTCAACCTCCTCAGTTGTTTATACGTCGAAACTTCTATACCAAACCTCATCAATCCACTATAAGAATGTCTTTGCATATGCCATATTCACCCATTACAGAAGAAGAATCAGTTCATCAAGAGAAGCCTCCAGCATGATTATAGAAGTTCACGATGCTCACCACATCATAAAAAGAAATGTAGATTCGAGGCCCTACTCCATACAGAAGACAGATGGGGATGCATAGACCCACTGCAAAAAACTCTACATAAGCTATGCATTTTGCCGTACCATAGGATAAGGTTAATAAAAGGGCTGTCACTGTGGGGTGGACTATGTCACCGCAGGAGGCAGTGTACCTATACCCCATGACCTCAGCTCCCTGCTGTGCAACTAGTACTTCAAGTTTAATTTGCCTTGAGACTTCTCTACCTGCCAGTTGAGACATTTGGCTAGTCCCGACAGAGAGATGCTCCTAAGGACGGTTTGGTATTGTCTCCTTCGTCTGCATTAAACACTGCTAACCCATAGGGAGACACTTCCTCTTACTTGCTCTTATTGTGTTACGGTTTGGAAAAGAAAAACATTTTTCATAGGATTCTGTTAGATTGTATAGAAGTTCCTCCATATAAATGCTACCATCTGCAATTAGGTGCTAGCCTCAATGCAGCCCTGGGGAAGATACCACCATACTATAACAGCTCCATCACATCTGGTCACTGCTCATATGGAGAACTTTTTATTTGCACCTGAAGTGCTTGTACAGAATCTATTTGTGTGCGGAAACTGGCAGGCAAGTCCTGGTTTTTTTTTCCAAGTCAGTGGTAAAACTGGTATTGAATATTATGGAGAACAATTTCACTGGAGGGTTTGGCTTTGAGTAAATGAGGTCTAACAAATTATGTTAATAAGACAGGCTAGGCCTAATCAAGGATATTTAAGATCTAAATTCATTAGATGTTTACCTGGTCAAGGAGCAAAGGTTAGTTTTCTTAGCAGTGAATCCATAGTAGGACTCAGTGGCAGATATACTGCTTCGTTTGTCTTGCTCAGACCTAAGTTAGACTTTGTGGTTCATTAGACTTGTACCGGTCCTCTCACAGATGTGAATTTAACCCTACCTATGTATCAGGTTGTGACTACACCTTTGTACACCTCATAGTACACCTCAGACTATCACCTTTGCACATCTCATAGTATTTCATTTGCAAATAAAAGGCTTTTCAAAATAAGACAAAGCAAAACAAAACAGAAAGCACAGTTCTGAGTATAGGCACTACAGTACAGGCACTACAGTATAGGCAAAGTACAACGAACATTCACTCACCTATAGTAGAGTTGACAACAACAACAGTTATAGTTGCATTCTGAGGGTTAGGGAGTGCTTCTATGTCAGCTAAACAAGTCAAAATTTCACTGTCCGTTGGAGTCAAAGTTAGGATGCTCAGGGCATTGTGGAGGTCATTAGATCCTTGACTTTGCTGGGTAACATACCTCGACTTATCAATGAAAGAGTCATTGGTCATCCAGGTAATGTCTGGAGCTGGAGCCCATCCTAAGGCTTCACAAACAATTTCAATTGTTTTGTTCTCTTTTACTGTTAAGGTGTTATTTTTGATGAATAAAGATCCATTAACTGTAGGAGGGAAAAGATGTTTTGTTCCTTCAGAATATTTGGCTGTCTGCTGATAGTTTTAAATCTTATCTTGCTACCCAGAAATAGCTATGCCTTGAGATATGAAGTCAAAACCAATCATTACGAACACAGATATACCATATGCATGATATAGACATGCAGATATTGCAACTTCGCGGACACATTATCCAGTATGTCTAAAGCACAAGTCTCAGCTTTCAGTACCTTTCCAATAAAAAGCAGGAAATTATACTTTTTAGCCATCCTGATATATTTCCAGCTGAAGGACAACATAATGAAAGAACAGGGTTTCTAAGTTTTAAGTATGCTCGGCTTTTATCTGGTTTACAGGTAGATAATGAGATGTTCTCATTGTAGGAAGGACCGCTTTGACAAATGGGTAGTGTCTGGTGGTTAGATCTTGCTCTGCTGGCTGCACTCTGTCACTACTGGTGCTTCAGAGAGGAGGAAGAGGTCTCATATACAGGGGTTTGATAGCAGGAACTTTTTGCTCCTTTGAAATGGTAGCTTGCAGCAGCAATAATATGAAGACTATCACCTTGTGTCTCAAGGGCTTCACTTCCACATGCCATTAAATCGAACTCAGATAAGCTGAACACAGACTGATTCCTGAGTCAGAAAGCAGGAGGGAGATCTGGCCTAAAGACAGCAGACAATTCATGTACAAAGATGCACGTATGGGTAATCCACATCATTTCTAGCCAAAAGATAATTTTTGACTGACTGCTGGTGGGCCTGATAGAGCACTTTAATGCAATCCGATAAAGAGTAAGAGACGTGACAGGAAAAAACAAGGGCAGTTATAACCTTTGTTAATGGCACTCTGAATGTGACTCTGAAACCTGCTTTGACAGTAAAATTAAGACAAAGAGGACAGGAGGCAAAGGATGGTAAATGAGAGCATGTACTCCTTCACAGGGATAATTTGAGCAATTCATCAGAGGATTCCTTTAAGTGCAGTATAATAAAATAACTTTGTATTGGTGGCTATACGCACCTTGAACAGAAAGAAACGCAAAGCTGCTCTCACTAGATGACTGGGTGCTGCATTCAATTTTTCCGGAATCGCTCAGCTGGGTGTTGTGGATGATCAGCTCCGAGGTAAACTCATTGCTACTGGTATAATTCTGAGAAGTGAAGCGGTCTGATGTTTCAACAGGTCCTTGAGAATTGATGACAGTGAGGACAGGATTTCCATTGGACAGCCAAATGAGAATTACCCATCCCACCGACACAGTGCAGTTAAACCGGGCTTCTGAACCAGCAAGGACTGTTGCATTAGTAGGGCCACTTATAATAGAGTAACAAAAGCCAAGATCTGAAAGGAATTAAAAGACATGATCTGTAAATACATATACACCACCACCACCACCACAAGCCTTTGATTTAATTTTTGCTGCCAGCAATTTAAGGCTAAAAAGCCAGGTGCCCTGGTGCAAATAGCCTTATTCACTGAGAGCACCGGGGTATTAAGCACTTAGTCATGTATCAGGAAAGGCTGTTGATTCAGCGGAGCTGGCACTCCACCTCTGACAGTCGTCAGTACCTGATACTTTCAGGAAAATATACTTGTCTCATTTTCTATAATGCCTGTCAGTAAGTAGTTAAAGATACGTGTAGTGAATTGAAATTGCAACTGAGTTAATGTTAATCCCACAGCAGTAAGCAGCGGTCAAATGCTACGTTGTTATAATGGATCTCCAAGCCAGTCATTACAGACCCAAGCAGTACATGTTTATATCATTTACAAGATCTTCACTAGTTCAGAGATGGAGACGTACAACCTAATCTTTCAGCTCCAGCTTAGAGTAAATGGTTTTCTTTAAAGATGCATTTGGGTTTTTGTCTCTCCTCCTCCCACTCCAAAATCACCTGTCTCTTTTCAGTGATTCACTAAAAAGCTGACTTATCATTCTGCTGAAAGAAAAAAGTTCCATTTTTACATAGGAAAATACATGAGTTCTCTAGACTTAAAATAAATAAAGGAGTATGTAACTGGTCCCTTTTCCATACCTCGAATTTCCACTGATTTTTTGCAGCCCCAGCCTATATCCTCCTATGCTCTTTCCCCTGTCCAACTGCCTCTTCCCTTATTTCTTATGCATGCATCACAGACGTACTTACCCACCTTCTCAAGCTTTCTGTTAACCACAGCTGCTGTAACTCATGAGGTTTTTCTTCCTTAAAAGGCAGTATCAATTTTGGCTACTATTTTTCAGAACTGAAAGCTCCTTTCTAATGAAGGCATTTTGTTTTCCTTTCCTCCTCAACAGACCCAGGGCTGTCCATTGCCCCCAGAGGAATGAAGAGGCAGCTGTTGCCCAGGCAGATGGTGGATCCCCGGCACATGGGAAGGCACGCAGAAAACCACACAGAAAGTGAAGGAAGGACGAAGGCAGAGACCCTCTTTTTCAAAGCAGTCTCCAAAATAGCCAGGGACAATGGTGCCGTTTTGAAGGTGGGCAAATCCTAAGGCATTGCTCAGAGGGAGAACATCGTATACTCTAGTCTTCATGAGGGACAAACCTTCACACTCTAAGAACATCCCAGATTATTTGGTTGGTGTCTTAGCAAATAGGACTTGAGAGAGCAGCTCACCAGTGTCTTTCCTGTATTGGAGAGCCCAAAATGGTGGTACGCTGTCATAAGCCAGTCACTTTACTAAGTCATAGAATCGTAATGGTTGCAAGAGACATCAAAGATCATCAAGTCACTGCCACCCACAGCTCTGCTGGCTGCAGGTGGAGTGGAGGAGGAGGGAGAGGAATACCACTGCAGGCCCTGCTGTCACCGAGGGTCATCTCAGGGGACTGCCCGTGTTCTGTGTCCATCCCACCGGGCACAGCTCTTCCTCATCCCCCCACAGCTGTTATCATCTCTTCATCTGCCTCTAAGCTCAGGTCTGCTCCCTTTTGACCTAGTGCTCACCTGCACCTCACTATGACAGAGTTGCTCTTTGATGGGGGCACTAAAAGGTTTTGGTGGCAAGGGACCTCAGCAAATCTCTAGCCCAACCCTCTGCTCCAAGCAGAGCTAACGCTACAGTTAGGTTACTTGTGCAGGGCCTTGTCAAGTCAAATGTTGAGTATCTCCAGGGATGGAGATTTCACAAGCTCCCTGCAGACCAAGCAGTCCTGCCAGTGAGGTCTACCTCACCAGTGAGTTTTTCATCACCTACTGGGAAACATTCATGCTGAGGAAGCACCAGGATTGCCAGGGCTACCCCTAACAATTCAGGCTGTAGTCTGCATAATTACAGCAATTAGATACTACAGTCCATAGCAGTCTAATTAAAACCCCATGTATGCAAATTTGGCCAGAGAAGAAGTGTTCAATTATTTTCCAGGAGAAAGAAAGTCTGAAACGGCCATTACTCCCTCACTAAGAGTATTCAGGACAATGAAGTGATTTTTAAAGGTTTCATTCAACTCAGGTTTTGTACAGTTTAGGTAGTTTATTCATTAATGGCTTAATTAGAAATTATTGAAAAATTCATTTTTCATTCAATCAATAGAAGGCATGTGTAGGGGAGAATATGCTGTACTGTTTCACACAAAAGAGATGTTTGAAAGCTGTATAAATGGAACCACAGCCCAATCTCAGTTACAACATTGCAACCAGAGCCTTGATGAACGCACCCATGGCATAGGGTCTGTAATTTCATTGCTCCAACGTCAATGTCATTGTCTAATTCCCAGCTCACATTTAATCCTAGGCAGTGTATATCTAACCAGGTTTGTGCCAAGAATTGTTCTTTAATATAAATAGCTCCTCTCTTTCCTCCCACCCACGGCATGTATTTACAGACAAGAGCCTTTTCATTCTTTGTTTTGCAGGATTATACAAACCTAGCTCTCCCTGGCTCTTTGTACAATTGACTCCGAGTTCTCTCATGTTTACAGAAACCTTTACAAAAGTTTTCCTCTTTCCTGGGTTACGTTACCTCTGCCATGCACCTCATTCTCCAAAGTATACGTGTGTGTGCACAATAAAACATTAAATGAAAAGCAAACTTCACTTCCACTGATAGTTAGTAAAGCCAGATAAGATAAAGTAAAATATATTTCTCTTAAATGGCTCATTTTTTCCAGTGGCATTTATTCAAAGCTCTCTTCAGACTTGTAAAGGTGAACTGAAATGCTTTAAAACATGAAATATCTTGAAGACAAACTCAGCAATCAAATCTACGTGCATACCTTAATATCTTGCTTTACAAACAGTTAAGCCAACAAAATGCCTAAAAGTCATTTCCCCTCTTTTCTATTTGTCACTTTGTGAATGTTAGGGATTGGCCACATGTCTGCGGATGGCATCGTTTACAGAGTTATGGGTTTTCTAAGGAGCGTGCACTGATGAAGTGCATTCCATTGAGACCGTTTGTCACAGCACATGGCCCTCTTCCCTGATATTCAACATCCAGTTGTCATGATTTCTATTCAAAACTTGTATTACCAGGGTTAAGACACTGTACTAAGCTCAAACATGTCTTTGAATTACCTTTTTTTTCTTGACTCATATTGCAGCCAGCCTTGACAATACTACTCCCTGTACATCTATGGTGTCTATACCATGTTCATGTGCTGAGTTTTTTGATTTTTACACTTTGTTTGAAGTCTTCCTGACTGCCTGAAGTGGACATAAACAGCTACCAGAACGATAGTAACAGTCATGAACAAACTTCCTTAGAGTTTACACCAAAATGCATTTAGTTGCTCATGAAACAGGAGCTGCAGTGCTTATCTACGTTGCTCTTCTTAATGCAAACTGATTGCTGTGCATTTGTAATTTATTTCCATGCCTGTGCAAACACTTTTCTTTTTTAAGGAGCCATCATTTGCCATGGATCTGAATAAATGATGTGACTTTCAGTACACTGCTAGCTGTTAATTAATTGTTTGCTATGAGATTATGCCTGTGGGTTCCATTATAGTCTTGAAATTTATCCCTACACATGAATAATCAGTGATCATCAGCTCTAAAAATACATGGCTACTATCGCTTTTGTTTTCTTCAGACAGTCAGGACAGTATAGGCAGGTAGGCATGAGCTATTCCTTCATTTATCTAATACAATATAATAATTTTTTATCAGTTCATTGGTATGGTAGGATCGACACCTTCTTCCACCAACCGTATCTGCTGGAGCAATAGATGGTCTTTCACGGACTTCTGTGAGATAGGGAACAGGTCCGTAAGCCCCATATGGGGATCCTACGGGTGGCAGGAGGACTGAGGAGTGGGATGTAGCTCAACCTTGCCTCCATTTAGGTCTCAGTAAAGCCCTAGCTCAACAAAAAAAGGAGTTTCATGAGCCTTCACCTGCTGCCGAAACATTTTCAGTGGTTTTAACTTTGCCTCTTTATCTGTCTGCTTTTATTTTTTATCCTGCAATAGCACATGGAGTCCTGAACCAACAGTGCGTTCCATCATCCAGCCCACGTACAAACACCGATAAAATAACTTGCATAAGGTCAAAGAGGACATTCATGACAGAAGTGGGATCTAAACCCAGTTACCAGTGCCTTAAGCCAGTGCTATAAGTCCTTTTGTTGGACCTTGCTTCTTGCACAAAGGAGAAAATTATTGTGCTAGTTTCATTTACATACTGCTTAAAAAATAACTTGCAGATGGTTGCTTTTAGACAAATTAAGGCCTCAGGCTAGATTGGCATTGCACTTTACAGGAATTACGTGTTCAGCTCTTAACAGCTGGTTTAACATCTGCCTAACATCTGTGGCTGCCCCATCCCTGGAAGTGTTCAAGGCCAGGTTGGATGGGGCTGTGAGCAACCTGGTCTGGTGGGAGGTGTCCCTGGCCGTGGCAGGGGACTTGGAACCAGATGAGCTTTAAGGTCCCTTCCAACCAAACCATTCTATGACTCCCCACACACAACCAATAAGAAAACCCACCCAGGCAAATATCGTCTTTGCAACAGGGAAACGTTAGGCTGTCTTCACGCTATTGCATTACCCCTTGACTTTTGAAGAACAAAGCTGAGTTAGGACACCTTCTTTGAGGCACATCACTAAATGTTTATAAAGCAGTCACCAGTGGTGAAAGTTAAACTGATAAGTATTTATGGTATTTCAGTTGCTCAGTCCTTCCCAACAGCACGCAGAGAACACACCAACTCCTTTATGAGCTGTTTATTCCCTCCTCTGACACTCAAATTCACTGTCACATCACTGCGGGTTTTGAAGAAATGAAAACGCATCTCATTCCCTGGATGATGCCTGCACTGAGGGAACCTCATTCGCCAAAGAACTGCCCTTGCCCTTCATCACCAATGTTTTTTCTTCCACGCTCGAACAAACTCTAAAGGATCACTTTTTCATGCTGAAGGTTTCAGCAACAAGGGCATTGAGATGTGGGTACCTTCTCTTCCTTCCCTCCTCCCCTCTGCTGACTCTGTCTTTCCTCTTTTATAAGTGACCTATTTGGATGCAGCACAGTGAAGGACAGGATGGACTCATCCTTTGGCCGTAATGATTCCTTTTTTTTTCAGCCTCATTATCATATTTCAAAATAATCTTCCCCTCTCTAACTGTATCGCCCTTCCATAAACGCTGCCTTTTATCCTTCAGTTTTTGCATCTAGTCTCTGTCTTCCTCCCTTCCTTCTCTGCTATTTCTTTTTGAATTTTTACATTTTTTTCCTTCCAGTCTGTTTTAAATTCCTTTTTCTTTTCACTCTTTCTTTAGTCGCTTGCTCACCCCACCTTGTCTTCTGCCTTCCCTGCCTCATCACTTGGCTACTGCTCCAGCAACAGCTCTGCAATGAAATGTTTTGGATTTGGTAAGATTTTTCTTCAGCACATCTTAAGTTTATTTCAAAAACCAACAGCCCTGCAGCTCAGCTTTTTGAAAACCAAAATAGGTTAGAGCTTGTCAAAGCCTGCAGAGAAGGATTAGCTTGTTTGCTTATGTTAACAAGACTTTTTAAATGCTTATAGGATGTTTCTGTCAAGTAATACCGGTCTACTGGTACTCAGCAACACATATTTCCACCCACCTGCACACAAACCTCTTCACAGCCCCCAAGTGTGTCTTCCCATCTCTTCTCTTACTCACTGTTTGACAGCTATCCCTTGCAGCCTCTCCCAGCTCTGCTGCTGGACTACTCCTCTCCTCCTGCGCTGTCTTTTGTCCCCAGTGGCGAGGGTCCCCAGGCTCGGAGCACCACAGAACCACCACCGATACCCTGGCAGCAGCCTGGGACCCTGTGCTGCACGTCAGCACCGTGGTCTGCAACGCTATCGCTGCCAACGGCCATGCCGTGCCCGCCCAGGGCGTGCTCAAACCAGCCGTGTCATGCAGCCATCTCAGCCACACCGCCCAGCCTCGCGACTCCCGACAGCCCGAGAGCTGCAATACCTCTTTCAAGAGCAACACTTGTCTCTCCCCAATACACTTTTTCTCTCTGCTTTGGGGTGTGCTCCTGTGGCTGCACCGCACAGCTTGGGCAGTGCCTGCTACCCCAGTACGGCTTGCAAGCGGGGCAGTAAAACACGCCTGGCAGGCGTGCTTGACTAAAAGCATTAGTGAAGGGTAACAGAAATCCTCTAAAACATGTAGTAATCTGGATGCCTAGGAAGACAGTGCAAGAAACAGAACAAATAAAAATCGAGGCTTCCTTGTTATAACCTCTCAGTGTCCAAAAATAAGAGATCTAGGGGCTTCCTGAGCCAATAATTGCATCTGCAGCTATGGATCTACTCTCCATGATATTTGTTTCTAGCTTTTTTCAGCCTATTTGTAATTTGGTGTCCCCCATATCCAGTGACTACGACCTTTGCTATTTAACTATATACTATGAGGAAAAGTACATTCTTTGGTTTGCCTTAAATCTTCTTTCTGATAGTTTCACCGTTTGCCACTAGTTACATTATGAGAAATTGTGAATAACCATTCCACCATTCACTTCCATATAATTAATTATTTTAATAAATTTTTACTGTTTCAACTTTTTCACAAGCAGGAAAATATCTCAGTCTAATGAAGGCCTCCCAATACCTTTGATCACCTCTGTCACACTTGATACCTTTCTCAGACCTAATATGTCCTTTTTGAAATTGAAAGGCTAACAAAACATCCAGTATTCAAGATATAAGCTTTCTGCGGATTTATATAATGTCAAGTTTCATTGTATTTCCCTTGCTGAAGACACTAAGAGATGAATTTTTCTCTATTTTTCAGCAATTTACTCCCTTTCCAAGATATCTACTTTTTTTCCCTCACTAGACATCTTCAGTTAAGAGATGCTTTGCAATGAATGTTTTCTGCTCCTTTATTACTTACTCACTTGGCATCATGACATTTTCTGGCAAATCTTCCCAGTCTCTTTCTGCATTTGGCTGCCCTAAGTAATTCTGCACCACCTGCAAAGTCTGCCACCTCACAGTTCACGCCTCTTCACTAGGTTGTTTAAGAGCTTGTTGAATACCACTCATCCCTGTGCAGCTCCACAGGGAACACCACTTTGCTCGGAAAACTCAAGGTTTATTCCTGCATTGTGTTTCCTTTCACCAATTACTAAGCCATGACAATACCTTCCCTCTCATCCCACTGCAGCTCCCTCCTTTCAGAGCCTGTTAAAACCCCAGCTAAACCATAATAAAAAAAAAAAAATCAGCCTTGTCTCCATTACACAACTAGTCACTTTATATTCACATTTTTCTTTAAAGCTCTGCCACCAACATACCTTTTATCTGAATTCACTTTGAAACTCAGGCATGTGAAATGTAAATTGGAGGCAAACTAGCAAAATGATAATTTGCACATATTTCTGGAAGCAAAATCAGCTGCTGATATTGAGTTCTCCACAGATGCAAAAGCAGTCCCAAACAGACAGGAGGAAGAGGAACACAAGGAGAGGGACAAATAAGTGGGACATCCCTGCTCACTGGAAGTGAGAGGGCAGCCTCCCCATCTCCTTCCCACCCCATCCACTGCTCACTCCTGCATACTGAAGCCCACTCTAAGCCATCACATCATTCAGGCTTGAAATGCAAACTTAACAGTTCAAACAGTTTAAATAATCCCCCTCTGGGACTGCCTGTTCAATCTGATATCACCAGTAACTGCCATTTACACAGCTTTAAAATTAATTCACATATTTTGTCCACAGTGGCTCATTTCACGGGTTATGAACATGTCCTACCTGGTAGCGAGGCAGTTAAGATGAGAGGAAGTAAAATGAATTTCTGGAAGCTCTCCATTGGAGCATTCTCTCCTGGTCCCTAAGGCAGAAAGCCACCAGCGGTCACTGCATACTTGAGAAGAAGCTGAAGGACAGAACTTATCGAGGAACTCGGCAATGACCTGCTGCTTTGCGTCCTGTGATAAAACGTGACTTTACGTGACCTGTATTACCGACAAGGAGAGAAGATTAAATGAGGGAGGGTTTGGAAAGAGGGCATATCTTTTCTCAGAAACAACTGTTTCAACAGAAGTAGAGGAGCTTTCTTCAGCAGAGAAGCCTCCCCCTACAGACCTTGCATCTCTCACACCCTTGGTCCCTCCTGCCTATTACAACACTACTGCTTCAGGATTGACTGAGTCAGGGGAGCTCCATTTGCATCATTAAAGTTAATCACAAGCAGCTGGGAAAACTAATTCTCTAAGCTGCTCGCAATTGAGTCTTATGGGTGCTCTGTCCGTGTGTCCTGGCAGACTACAGCACCCTGTGCTCCTTCACTTACTGTCATGCAGGGCAACTGTGCAGGGTGCCAGCTGCTCCCCTGGGCTCCGAGGAGCACAGACCTGTGTTTGTAGGGCTTGGTAGCCCCTCTCGGGAAACTGATGCCTCTTGCACCAGGCAGCCTTTGGGAGACGAAATGGGAATATAGCCCAATGCACCTGCCACCCTGGTTTCTCCATCCCACCTGCTTTAGGGCAAGGATGAGAAATACCAAATCTCCTCCCAGCTCCCCAGACTGAGCACTCAGAAAGTCTGCTAGTTCAAAGAGGGCCCCAAAGTTATTTCTCTGAACCTGAGAGTGCCTCTTAGACCCCAAAATAAAACACCACCAGCTCTCCACTGTGGCCAGAGATAAGATATAGAGCTTGGGTAGGAGCCGTCACCTTACTTCTGCATTTTCTGCTTTTCTAGTGTTTGTGATTCATTTGTGTGATATTATTCTCCTCCCCCTCAAAATACGTGGGAGAGAGTTTGACTGCGCTGCTTGGTTTACAAACTTCTCAGCTGGGAAATGGAAACTTGCCTTCTTGAAAAGGACACAGGCCAGAGGATGGGGGTTTTGTGGCCAGCCCAGATTTCTTGTCAGGAAAGTGGTTTTGATTTCAGGGGTGTTCTTTGTGGCAGCTCCGCGCGATGCATAAATATTAGTGTGACCACAGAGACACCCTGAGTTTCCTGTAACAAGCACACTTTTTTAACCGCACTTTTGCTAAAACCAAAACCACACCAAGGCACAAAACACAAAAGCCCTGGCCCAGCTGTTTTGCTGCCCTTAAGCAAGCAGTTAATTTCGCAGCTTTGTGTAAAGACCCTGCATTAATTCCCAGCAGGGCTTCTGTGAAAGCAGCGGTGATGGGATGGCAGCGGGGTGGGCGGCAGGGCCTCTCACGGGGGACCCGTGTGGGAAGAATGCCCCGCACCCAGATCTTCCCTGCCCACCGCACTGCTGCAACCAACAAAAAACGGCTTTGCTGTCTTTCCAAACATGTTCAACTGCAGCATGAAGCTATACCAGAGCTCTGTTCACTGCTCGGTGCTCCAAGCAGGGGGTCTCACTGATTTTACGGCAGCAGTTGTGACCTGAGCGGCTCCGCTGGCAGTTCACTTCGCGTTTTCCTGTTTTGAAAGCTTTCAGTTTACTTTGTGAACTTAAGGGACAACCCTGTCAACAAATCAACATTTTAAGCCACACCTGTGGGTTGGTTTCTTCAATTACAACAAATCAACATTTTAAGCCACACCTGTAGGTTCGTTTCTTCACTTGCATGTTGGGAGGGGGGCTAGTTTGTAGGTTGGTTTGGGTTTGCCCAGTGCATTTTGAAAGGTTTTGTTTTTTTTTCTCACTTCCACCTTTCCTGTGCAGAGGAGTCCCCAAGCAGGCAGCTGCGGCAGGAGAGTCACCGTGCACAGCTCAGAGGGATTTCTCCTGGCTTTGTCACTGTGATAGCTCTCAGCAGGTACACAAATGAATCAGTAGTTTTTACGAGTTAGTATTATCTGTCATAGGAGCTGAAACAGCCCAAGTAAAGCACCAGGAAACAAACGCAAAAGTCAGGGCTGTGTCCTTTTCCAGGAAGCTGCGATGCCAGGCAGGATCTACAGGCCTGGAGAGGACCCCACCGGCCAGGGCAGCAGTGTCCATACCCCCACTTACAAAGCCATCCACACCAATGCAAGCTGAGCTGAGTGAAGTTTTATGGAGAAGAATAAACTTGCTAGAATCTTATGCCCAAATCCAGGCCAAAATCAGTAAAGGCCTTGGAGTGAAGTAAAGCGAGATGCGAAAGGAAGGGATCTATAACATTTTGTTTTACCTGATTTCAAAATGGACTTTCAAAAGGCCAGGAAATATTACCCGATCTCCAGATGAAACAGCACATTTTGGCCGATCATGAATCAAATACCTGGGGTTTGGCCTGAGCTGCTTTTCACCTTTCCCGCAGGTGCGTGGGGTGACTCGCAGTGCCCGCGCTGCCGTGCAGGGCTCCGAGCCTACTCCCTCCCACATCCAGCCAGAGGCAAGGGGATAATATCGATAATATTACT